GGCTCCAGGGACCAAGAATAAAGCAAAGCCTATCCTCATCCAGCACTCCTATAATCAGCACTTACTGATGACTCCTTTTCTTTCCCGATGGCAGTTGTTGAGGTATGAAAACTGCCACAGGTAATTGGAACTGTGATGTACTGCCGAGGCTCATGGCAATCTAAGCCTAGCTGAGAACATCAGCGTCACGGTTTTACTGTCTGTCTCCTGATGTCTATAAATCCCAGGTTTTACTACCTTTGTTTTCATCATGCCAATCAAAGGCTTGATTGCCCAAGGAATAAATTACTACATAAATCACTGTTTGAAAACATATCTCTCTCCTTGACAATGCCTTCTTTTGTGGCAGTGTACACAGATCTTACTGTACCACCACACAGGGCATTGCAGAAGCAGTCGGAAATTTAGAAGTGGTGCGATAACACAGGAAAAGCTTAACAAGTACCACTGAGCAGTGCTACACAACAGTGAAAAGTGCACATGGATGGAGCAAGACTTTGCCAAAAGGGAGTTAATTATTGAGGACATACAGAGACAGAGGCTAGTGAACAGTCTGCCTTGTAGTGTAGCTTGATATGATGAGAAAGAACCTACCCAAAAGCAAACGTTAAAAATGTTAGTTCCAGAACATACTTTGCAGAAGATATTATGGAGTCAGTAGGCTGTATGCTGTAAATGCAGCACAAGGAAGCCAAAGTGCAGATATACAGCTTTAAACAAATGATATATCTAGATTTAAATAACCACAAGAACTTCAAAATCTTTTATTACCTCCGAGGGAGCTAATTTTATCTCCTGTGGAAAAAAAAGGTGTCTCTGACAGTAGTTAAAACCCTCGCCTTCTGCAATTATTAAACCTTCCACAGGCCTACACCAGGGAGGTGTTAAAAACAAGTAGGATAAATATGGAAAGCATTACCACATGCAGGCCTGAAATTTAACTGTCTAATTTTAAAATAAGTCCACAGGACCTCGTTCTAATATACATAAGTATATAATGCACTGTCTGCACCTACTTCAGCTGACATTTAAGAAGGCTGCAAAATCTGGTGCAGTTGCATTGATGTATCACAGAGAAAGCAGAAATCATTTTGCAGCTTTTGGGCCTTCTGGGAGCATCAAATGTGACTGACCTGTAGCCCCAGTCTGGCACTTCTTGAAAATGGTGTTTTTGGAAGTGTGAATTAATCCCCTGACAAACTACTTTGCCTTTCACCTGGTGTATGCTTATTTTTTAAATGTTCCCTCTAGAGAACAGTCTTTATTCACTGGCTTGAGATTTGGAGCACTTGCTTAGGTGTGGGAAGCTTCAGTTCCAATCCCCTCTGGTTGAGACAGAATTAACTCAAGCTGCCTTTCTGTGGGCAACCATTTTAACAGCTATGACATTATGTAAAAGGTGGCTCTGCCCTCGCAATTTGGAAAACACTCGAGGCTTTCTGCAAGTACTTGAGGCATGCTAAGATGATATCTAACAAATTAAGTTCCTCGGGGTACTTCAGTGCAGGAATACTTCTCATTTGAATTTTAAAATTGAAACGGGCAGCTAGGTATCCAGCTCCATCAATACCAAAGCACTCTGGGCACATGCAGAGGCAAAACTTAAAGCTTCTAAGAAGGAGCAACTCAAAAATATTCAAACCCCAATTTGCACACCTCAAGACCATGCTCTGAGCACCAGGCTGGGGTGGTCACACCTAAGCACACACTAGGGAATGATAAGTACCTACAGCATCGTAGATATATAGGCATTTAGGTGTTTTTTTAAAATTATTGTTCTGTTAAGTATACTTGTCCCTGAATTGTCCTTCAGGTACCTAAAAGTTTTTTTTTCTTTTTTTTTTTTTTTTAGATTTAGCAATTGCCTTACACTTTAAAGGCTGAAACATAAACAGTGCACTGGTTTTCAATCTAATTGTTATATGTTACCCAGTCGTGAGGTAAGTTTCCTTACTTTTAGATTATTTTTTAAAATAGAGAAAATTCTGTATTTCTAGGTTGCAGATACTTTGTTTTCATTTCATGCTGCAGCTAAGTGCTACATTGCCAGACAGTGACTATAGAACACCTGAGCATTTGAAATAGTCAGAAGCATATCCAAAGGGAAAGACTGTGATTCCAATGATATGCAAGGTAGGAAAATTTGTTAGACAATTCTACTTCCCCAAACCAAAATCTGCTTAAGGAAAATTTAAATGAAATTTCAGATAAAACTTGACTGTTAAGACAGTGTAGAGAAGTAGGGCAACATATTCAGTCATTTCCTTGAAACATGGTGAGATAATGTTAAATAAAAAATGTGGTTTAAACTAGAAATTTTGACAGTGCTAGGAGTTTAATACTGATTGCTAACAAAGTTATTGAGTATTTGGAATTATGAGGTGAAAGCACAACCGCAAATCAACTGTAATGAAGGTTTATTTTTACATATAAACTTTGGTGTTTTGTTAGGAGCAGCCTGATGTTTTTCACCTAACAGCACCACAAACCCAGCATATTTGCATGCTAGCTTTACACGATAGAGATACCATACAGAAAAAGGCATATAATGTAAAACTGATTTCCTAATCAAATGGTCCTGCCTCACCACTATAAAAATCCTGCAATATATCTGCTAAGAAGTCTACCAAAAACAAACAAACAAACAAAACAAAACAACAAAACCTTTTATTCTCTCCCTATCATAAAGCCTTGGTGCAAATTCTAAATAATTCTAAAATTCTAAGATAAAATCCCTTCGAATCTACTGTGAGGGACTAGTTTCCCAGCTAGGGCATATATACATACTCCCACATTTTCAGTTGCAGTTGTGCTGCTGCGTGGTAGGTAGCAATGGCTTTTCTGTCTCAGTTCTGAAAGTGCTTGGAATGCTTGGGAATATTTATGGCCTCATATGTTGTGCTCCTGCAGGATGAGGTCTTTTGGAAAGAATGGTCCTACTTGCTTAAGAACTCAGATGTTAGGAACATTTTTCTTTCTTTCTTTTTTTTTTTTTTTTTTTTTTTTTTTTTTTTTTTTTTTAGTTTCTTCAGTGTTCATTTTATGCTTTTACGAACTTTCAACAAAGTTGATTAAGACTCGATAATCAAATAAATTATGGGGGTTATGTTTCCCCTTTGTGAAATGAAGTGTTGTTTGGCTGCAGTTCACAAAATGTGTCATTTGATGCAACATCTTAAAGCATTACCTCATAATCCTCCCATTTTGAATCATCCCCTATCTTGGGGCTTGTCTACACTTTGAAGTTCATTCAAGTGATGTCACAAAGTGAATTTAAAGTGCAATAGATAGTCCTGAATCACTCCCCATGAATCTAAGCAATCCACGACAACTATGGGAGAAGGAGACACTGTATTGCTCTCTCCTGGCAAAAGCCCTGACGGCATTTGAGCTTGTACTTCTCTCTGTCGAGCCTCAGGAGGAGAACTGAATTCTTGTAATCTTTACGTGGAAGAGGTCTAAAAAGGATATTAAGCTGTCTGTGTCCATGACAGTTCTCCTAATCCACCTTTCCTCTCCCCTCAGTCTAAAAGAAGACTGTGGCTCATCTCAGTGAGCAAATTCTGGGCTCGGTAATGGGCAGTTTGGGCAAATGGGTAGTTTTTGATCGCTCTCAAATAAAGGTTGTGGTGGAGAAGCAGAAGGTTTTGCATTGTCTTCAGGAATAGATGTTATGCAGATCTGTCCAAATTAACCTTTACCTCATGCTTGATGGTAACTTTGGGAGATGGAAATTTAATGACCTGGATTGTTCCTCACAGCCCACTGTTCTACCTACCTTGAGTGCACGCACAAAGGCAGCCGTTGTGCTTTTGTTTTTCCCTTGGAAGCCTTTTAGTAACTATAAAATTATACAGTATCAGGTTTAGGTGGATTTGTGCTTTACTTTAGACCAAGTAATCTCATTTTGGAAAGCGTTAGGAGTAATTTAAAACTGTCTAGGCACATTTCAAAGATTTTTCAAACTGATTCTGATGGGAGAGACACTTGCAGTTTCTCATATTGATGGTGCATATTTAACACAATCTTTAGATTCAGACTCCTCAAATTCACAGTTCTCCATTCTCCTTGCTTCTTATTCAGCAACAGATATGCTCAATGTTTTCCAGTATCACTTGCGCAACAGTGGAAGAGATATATTCCTAATTAGCTTTGGTTTTGCAGAACATTAACTGCTGCGTTTATTTTACTAGCTCTAAAGCCAATTCTAGGCAAATAAGATGTAAAATACAATTAAGACTATCAACTGTTGCCTGCTTAGTTAGAGATAATGTGCAAAGGGAATGTGTTTGTTTCAGAAGAAGTAGCAATGAGGTATGTAATGATTTCCCACAATACATAATTTCCATGCTCTTAAAATGTTTTGATTATTTAATTCTCTACTGAAATGGGGAGAAACTTCATTCTTTGATGTCTGCATGTAAAATATACAGGTTAGATCTTTGGAGAAATGGCTACCATTGCTTTTGTTTATAGTTTTTGCTCTTTTTTTTTTTGTTTTTAAGGGGAGAGTACACCATTCGGCAGTTGCAATTAAGCTGCAACATAATACTGCTAGTACTGAAGCATTCTTCATTATAAATAATTACATTCATTTGATTTAACTGACAAGTTTTGCACTCAGATCTAAATACAGAATGCTGCAAGAAATGCTTGTATTTTTCCAAGTACAATATAAAATCAGAGAAACATTTCAGCCCACCTGAAAACATTTCATTAAGGGACCAAATTAAATAGATAAGGTCAAAAATGTGATTATGTATTGTTTAGTATAGGCAAAGAAAACAGAAGTGAGAATGTTTTTGCACAGTTTGGAAAACATTACAGAGAAACTATTCCTGTGTGAAAACACCGTCTTATGAGACTGCACTGAAAAATACAGAGCAGGCACAGGAAGAAACTCGGTGCCAGGCCCTGCTCCACTAAAATAAATGGGAGTTGTCCCACTGCCCACACACTGCTTCTTATCTTATCCCAAAGGTGAAAGGTGGTATCCTTACCTGTACACTAGTAAGAGTGGTGTATTGATATGCTTTGACTACCAGGTAATTGGCTTCTATATCTATTATCCCCAGGATCATGTACTTCCACCATCTCCTTTTCAAAATTGCCAGCAAGTTTTCTTCTCCTGTGGTAACAAACAACAGAAAGAATTACATAAAAGACAGATGGAAACAACAGAAAGAATTACGTATGCACAAAAATCTTGCAGGTCATGAGAAATTATCTAGAAGATGTCTTGCATTTACAAAAGACAGTTGAAAATGTATACGTATAACAAGGGGCTCTGCAAGGAGATGAAAAATAACACATCTTATTTGTCTTGCATATATGAAAATAGACAACTTAAAATAGCCAACAAAGCAGTGTGTGCTGGCCAAATTGTCATTTCACTTGAATCTTAAAAAAAAAAAAAAAAAGACAAATCCGGGAAAAAAAGTGCAGCTTGGGCAGATTTTAAATCTGTTAAAATATTTTAAATGTGTTCTTAGTTTTACTAACACAAAACACGGCTTAGTTTTACACACAAAAGACAATAGAGAATATATAGAGCTGTTCATCCACACACTTATTCTTCCTCTACATACTGGTAAATATATGTTATAAATGCTGCAAGAGGTTCTTGAGAAGAAGTGAGAGACTACTGGAATTTGTAAGCATGATGGACTATCAGGACAGTAACAGTATAACCTTTGGGAAGATTACAGTGTTCACAGATAGTAATTATGATCTTAAAGGCTCAAAATACCAGACTCGTTTCAAGAAAGGTTGCACTGGGACAAACAGATTTTGCATGGCAGGTTGCACTGTCCCCAGAAAGCACCTCAGGAGGAGACAGACTTGCCCTACAGTGTCTTCGATAGGGACACTGTCAATCACCTGGGGCTTAATCTGCACCAGGTGAAGCCTGTCAGTACAACCTGCCTGCAGATCCAAGCCACAGCTTTCAGAAGGTCAAAGCACTCCTCATGTGGGGCTGGGAATTACTAGTAATGTAGGCTGAATTTTAATGATCCTGAGAGTTAGAAAAATATTCTACTGTTTTAAAATCTGTTTGTGTCGCTGCAGCCTTTCTAAGCATCTATGATGATCAAAATGAGTGATAAAAGAGAAGAGATGGAGCATTATTGCTAATTAGCACCAAAACTTTTGCTCAGGCTTCCCAGTTCTCCCTCATCGTTTTTTTGTCTTATGGTAAGGGGGTTTATTCTCTGTTTTAAATGGAAAATGGTGATTTTATACTGCCACAACACAAGAAATGCTTGGCTCTGTCTGACAGGACCATCTCAAATCTTCTAAGAAAATGCAGTTGCAGAAAACTTGATAATTACTTCAGAAGTTTATCCAAAATTGTAGACATCAAATCTTGGCTTCACTGAGTACTTACCTGAAAAAAATCATCTGACTCATTCGGCACTTGTTCATTAGCAAGTGTTCTAGAGGAACGTAACAACCTCTTTGTTTCAGTGACAATAATGCTTGAGACTGTAAACCATAAATTTAGAGGGGAAAAAAAACCCTTTTCCTTTCTCTTTCTTCATCCCTTTCCTTTCCTTTCCTTTCCTTTCCTTTCCTTTCCTTTCCTTTCCTTTCCTTTCCTTTCCTTTTTTTTCTCCCTCTCTGTAAGCAACACAGAAATAGCAGAAATAAGATAGTAAAGAGGATAATTATATAAAATTCTAAATAAGGATGAGCCAGTACCTTCAACCATATCATTCTTTCCTGTAACCACCATGTCACAGGAGAACTTTCATTATATTCAGTATTTATTAAAAGACATATGAGATTAGATGTCTTAATTCCTCCTAAAATCAGGGTAAAACATGCAGATCACTTCCTGGGTACTGAAAAGATATTTGTAATTTTTATATTACACAGGCCATCCAATATACCTTTAAAAGGTCAACTTCAAACCATTAACACAATAGAAATGCACAGATAATATTTCAGAGTGATTTTTCCTTTTAACTGTAAAAAAAAAAATCAAAGACATCAAGCCATGGTACAGTATAAAACTCTCTGAGTCCCTGCTGCCTCTATTCTGACAGTGAAAATCCCACCTAAATCTGATTTGGTGACAGTAAGCTCTGGATAGTACCAAAAGAGCAGCAGGAAAGCAGCTGAAGGACTTATAGTTGCTTTAGGCTGAATAAGGATGATGGACATAACTCAGGATATCTTTTGGCACCTTTGGTTTGCTACTGCTTTTTACTCCAGTTTTAATCTCCAAGCACAGATCACTGTACTGTTCAGCTGGAGGTGGCCAAAGCCACCTGGCTCTGCACAGCCAAAGGCAATGATGAAGTGAATTTATGCAGACACCAGGCAGCTCTGATGAACACTGGCTTAGCTTCACAGCAAGTCTCTTTGTCTTGCCCACTGGAAACCAGAGCGACGCACAGGCGTTCAGTGGGACAGACATAAAACAGAGAATTTGTTCCTGGAAGAAAAAGGTGTTGTGAAGAAGCTCTATCTTCCTTTTTGGAACTTGTTTTTGCTTCCATTCACATGCTATGTCTCTATTTAGCTTGTCAAAAAGATCTGCTTCTGGGTCCCTCTGTCCTTACTATTATTATTATCTTTTTTTATCTGTACAGATCTAGAATTAGCAAAATTGCCTCAGTTCATCTGAGGATATATTTGAGGGAAAAGTAATGCCTTTTTAGCACATGTTCAGCATTGTTATTTGATTACTGTTCTCTATTTCTTTACTATTGTTGTCACTATTCCTAGAAATAAATGGGAATCTCCTAAACTGGGAGGCTTCCTGGGAGGAATGGTAGGGAAAATGAGATGATCATCTGGAGTGACTGTCAGTCCAATAGTTATACTTTTTACTGCTTCTGCTATTGAAACTAGCAAGCATATTCACAGTACAATCATATTATCAGCCCTTCCCCTCCACATGTTTCCTTGTATCTCGCAAAGGTACTGCTCCAAATATGGTTGATTATTTCTTTAAAGGACAAACTTTTTGTTTGCATTCTCTTCCTTCTCTCACTTTGCACTAGATATTTCAAGACTACCCAGCAAGTATCTGCATGTTATTGCAGCAGAGAGGTCCAAGAAAGACGCTAGGACAGAGCCATGGTTGACTTCGGTAGTAGCCTCTATACATTAGAAAACTATCTCCAATGATTTTTGTAAGTAAGTAACACATCAAAGCCCAGTTTATGGGGAGGATTTTAAGGAGTGTAATGTCTAAACGACTGGATGACTACAGAGAGCTTCTCCCAAGAATATGGCAAGGAAGTGAATTTTTTTAAAATAATGCAAGTTAAGAGTGGACATTGGAATGATGAGGTAATAGAAGAATGGAAATTAAATACTGATATTGAATGAAAGATGATATGTGAGGAAGAGGATGATGAAGATCCTTCTCGGGGCATGTAAGGCACAATGAGAGAAATAAGAGGATGAGAAAAGAGCAGAGCCACAAGCGCTAAGAAGGATAGGATTTGGAGATTCCCCGAAATGACAGCATAGTCAGATGGGTCAAAAGCCATTGACAAAATCAAGGAAGAGTAGGTGGAGTTCCAGTATTGAGATGGGGCTGAAATGAAACCACCATATTTAATGTCACACTTTTGCAAGGGTGACTTGGAAAGGGTAGACAGTGCAAGGCCTGGGCTGCAGGCAGCAGAGGACTTCTGTGCTGTTATCACAGCTGGTACCTCCAGTGAATTCACAGATGACAAGAAGGAAAGATAAGTTAGGCAAGTAAGAGGCCTTAATTTAATTTGAGAAAGGCTAAAATCAGAAGGAGAGAGAATCAAGTGTGCATCCCAAAACCGGAATAAATATCTTCTTTGAAAAGAAACAAATAGAAAAAAGAAAGAATAACCTCCACAATTAAAAACAGAACAAAGGAAAAAAAGACAGTCTTGTTTGTTTGTTCGGTTTCTTTTTGCCTTGATGACAAATAAAGCTAAGTTATTAACTGGTATACTGAGTTTTAAGCAACATGGGACGGAAAGACCAAACGTAGATGTCTACACCTGAAATAGCCCACGAGACATTTTTAAGCATTATTTGCCTGACATTCCAGATGAACTGTTCAGGATGAGATAATAGGTGTTTTGGAAACAAAACAAAACATTTCTTCAAGTGAATGTAAAGGGAGGACAGATTATGTGAGACTGTGTGTTTATGTTATTATCTCAACAGGACTGTGACTAAGGCTCCCAACCAGCCATATAAACAAATAATGAAAGAGAAGGTATGCAGGTAAGCTTAAAGCCAACATTTCCAGAGAGACCCTGGGCACAGTGGTGCATATGCATTCATGTGAATGTGCAGATTAATACTGTTTTTGATAGTGTTAATCTGTTGACAGAGATATCCTTTTGAAAAATAAAACCAAACCCTAACTTCTGTCAGTGCAAGCACAAGTGCAAAGCTTTGGATAAAGCTTTGAATGTGAGGAAATGGGACCTCACATTCAGTCTAATCCAAATCTACTATATGGAGTTAAAACATCTAATATATTAAGAATGCTTTCAGATTCAGAAGTCTAAAACTCTGTTAATACAGAGAAACAAAAGTGCTCTATTTGTCCTTTCTAGAAGGCTAGATTTTTACAGCTTTTATATTCTACTTATTCTGCTTTGAAATACACATTTGACAGCTATATATATTGAGGATCTCTCAATGTTTGAAAAAAACTACAGTTCTGCCTTTGCTGGTTCAAATTAAAAATCAACAAATAAGCTGCTTTGTAGAAGACACAATTTTACATGACATAATAAGGATGTACCCCCTGGGGGGCTACAAAATTAAAAATAAATTAGAGATCAAATTAAAAGAGCTTTAACTGTGCGGTGTCTACCATAAATACCCTTTTCACATTCACCCATACAGCCACAGAGGTGCTGTTAAAAAAAAAAAAAAAAAAGAAAAAAAAAAACAGCCATTTGGTCTGCAAATTCACAGCTATTTGTATATGGCTTTGGGACACAGATAGAATAGCAGCACTTCTATAACAGAAAATAAACATATTACTCGACTTTCATGCTATAATCTCTAACTTTCAAAGCAGCTGCCAGTTTGCTAGGTAGATGAAGGTGCTGTGCTATCCTGCTTTGGAGCACAGCAGATGAGATCTAGATGCATGCAGGGGAAATGCAA